AGCCCAACGATTAATCAATTAGTTAACTGTGATCTATTAACGAGCCCAACGATTAATCAATTACGTTCAACTTATCAATTATTATTCTCGTGGGATGACAAAAAAAAAAATTATTCCCAAAAATTGACTAAAAAAGAAAACTACATTCCAAATCAGGTTTTGATACCCACAATCAGCAGAGCACAGATAGCCAATTAAGTACCTTAGCTTATAAGCAATAAAAGAACACATTTATACTACATAAATCACAAAATCATCTGTTTTGTTTGAGTGGTAAAAGTCAATAATTTGCCATCAGAACTCAAAGTGTTTGAACCAAAGACATTGCTCCAAGAATTAATGAAATATTTTATAGGTTAGTTAGAGAGCCAGAAAATTTACAGTAGTTTTAGTACAATATAACCTAGTGAGAGATATATTTTTCTTTCTTTTTTTAAATTCATATTTGAAAAATACACAAATTATTTTTTGGAAAAACAACACAGTTATAAAAGAAAATGAAGACTTATGAAAGCAGACACTAAAATGCAAACTGGTCTAGAACTAAGCGAAGAAATGCATGAGGAATGTACACAGTCAGATGTGCATGATGTAATCTGATTCATTTCTATTTCATGGTAATTATACAGTTCAAAGAGCAATAAAACAATAAAAATAACTGTGTAAAATTAAGGACACTAAAATTCTTAAGATAAATAACTAATTATCTGTCAAAATTTTCAGTCATTCTTATAAAAAGAAGATATTTTTTACTGTCTTTCAGATTTTCAATTTTTGTTACAGCTTGCGTTAGGGTACAGAAAATAAAAGATAAATTATAAAGTTTTATCAAAAAACTTTTCATGTTCAGTTAAAAAGTTCTAGAGGTTAAAGCAAATAAAATATGAAAACCAAAGGTGACAAGAGGCATTTATTCACCTTAGCATGAAAATTACCTTTCACTCAGATTGGTAAATTCACAGACAATGTTTTAGAAAAAAAAATGTATTACAAAGTCTGTTGTTTTTTTTATATATATAGTAGAACGGACATGTAATGTCTTACTAAGAGCTTGCCAAATTTTTTTGAAGATACACTTAATACATTCAGAGTTATAGTACGTATAGATAGATTCACGACTATATGGTGGTTACAAGGTCAGTCAAAATTAATGAGCCTTTATACATAAATTTACTCATTACTTTGATTACTGAATAGTTGGAGTAATTGAAAGCAGTACTAATCAAAATTACTATTTCACTAACATTAGATTTATTTTACCTGAGACTGATTTTGGTCAATACTCATAGTTAATTGATTATATTAACCGAGTTAACTGCCCAGTTCTAGTTAGAATCAGTGATAATACTCTAACTGAGATTATATTGCAGTCTGAATTGGTGAGAGAGACATCAGTCATAATGAGACTTTCTGCTTTTAACAAAAAGTCTCTGAACCAGCCACTGGGTGGGAAAAAATGTTCCCATACTTCAGGTAATGTGAAACTTGGTAAACTTACTGAGTGTTTCCTTTTTGATGATTCATGATGAGGAGAAAAGGAATATTATTGTAGAGTGGGAAACACTAATTTCTTAATTCCGAAAAGAAATACCTAACATCTCAATCATCACCTGTCTGCATCACATGATGCATCTGCCCATTTTAAGTTTTTTTTTCCTTCTACCCCTTGATCTTCCAAATATGGCACAAATTACTTAACCTATAGATATTAACTAAGCCATAATGCAAACTTCTCTCCAAGCTTATTGTTTTACTGAGATATAACCAAGAGCTTCCCTGGTTAACATGCTTATCGGGCCAGGTATTCCTTTTCCAGAAACATTGCTAAGGCTCACTCCCTGACCTACTGTTTTATTATAAAAAAAGCAGCACCTGTATAGTAGAAATCAATACAAGAATTAAAGGGGCCTAAAGAAAATCATTCAAAAAAACTTCTAAATGTAATCTCTAAATATGAAATTAAAGCAAAAGTGTCCTGTAGAAAATGGCCAATTAATTCTGGGTGTAAAAATTAATGTACCTAGTATAACAGCAAACAAATAATAAGTCAAAACTTACCCTATTCTTATTGATCTGTCAGCCTGACATGCATTTTTGACTCTTACATCAAAGTCCATTTCTGCATATGGTGATGCTTCAGAGAGGAAAGCCTAAAAAAATTAATAACAAGAAGTAAAAAACTATTATATAAACATATGATATGGATCTTTTCCAGGAAGATATAACAAAATTTTAAATTATCTTAAAAGCACACCGTAAATCAGAAATTTTTATAGTATGGTTAGTTTAACCCGAAGTGTACAGGAGTAGTCCTTTTACACATTACACAACCTTTACAGTTACGTTCAAAACTTAACTATGCAACTTTTTTGCCAATGTATGTCAATAAATGTGTGTCGAGTTTCACCCAGACCGACTCATTAGAGTTTTGGAATTTCACAGACAAATCTTTAGCACAAATATTTTATTAAAGAATTTGATTTTTTGTACACAACGTGTTCTTTGTTCACGAAGATTAGTGTGTTCTTTGTTCACGAAGATTAGTGTGTTCTTTGTTCACGAAGATTTAGTGTGTGTGTGTTCACGAAGATTAGTGTGTGTGTTCCTTGTTCACGAAGATTAGTGTGTGTGTTCCTTGTTCACGAAGATTAGTGTGTGTGTTCCTTGTTCACGAAGATTAGTGTGTGTATTCTTTGTTCACGAAGATTAGTGTGTGTATTCTTTGTTCACGAAGATTAGTGTGTGTATTCTTTGTTCACGAAGATTAGTGTGTGTGTATTCTTTGTTCACGGAAATTAGTGTGTGTGTATTCTTTGTTCACGGAAATTAGTGTGTGTGTATTCTTTGTTCACGGAAATTAGTGTGTGTGTATTCTTTGTTCACGGAAATTAGTGTGTGTGTATTCTTTGTTCACGGAAATTAGTGTGTGTGTATTCTTTGTTCACGGAGATTAGTGTGTGTATTCTTTGTTCACGGAGATTAGTGTGTGTATTCTTTGTTCACGTAGATTAGCGTGTGCGTGTGTTATATTTGAGGGCATTTTTTATTTGAAAAATTATGATAGAAAATAAAGTTTATATCTTTGTTATTTCAGTTAAATCTTTGTGAGTGGTTCATCCATTGGACCAACCCCAGAAACTGTGAAGCTATACTTACTAGAACTTTGAATTTACTAAGTGTATCTTCATGAAATTTAGCAGACTTTTTGTAACCATTAAAAGTTACTAATCTTCGTGAACAAAGAATACACACACTAATCTCCGTGAACAAAGAATACACACACTAATCTCCGTGAACAAAGAATACACACACTAATCTCCGTGAACAAAGAATCAAGTTTGCCTTATGACCATAAATAATATGCACCTAGATTTTTGCAATATTGCAGTCAAAGTAACCCTTTGATAACAAGAATGTTAGTGTTATATAATCTCTAACTGCACGTTTGCTATAGTACTTGCTATCTTTCCAATTGCAGCCAGCAAATAAACATTGTTCAAATGTTAGAGTATCTATAAAATCAGTAAAAGTGAATTCACCTTAGTCCTTGCTATGTAGAAAGTTGAACCAACTATACAAGGATAGTGATTCGCATTCAGAATTTGAAGGTTTCACAGAAAACTACTTGTAGTTTTGAATATCAAAGATAATGTAGCGATAATTAGTTTGTATTTTCAAACATTTCTAAGTATGCATGTAAATGAATCTTAAAAAATCATAAGACTTAACTTTTTCATCATTATATTTCAAAAGTCATGTTTAGAGATACCGAAAATAAATGAAAACGGGAGACAACTCTCATTTATGCCTTATAAATAGACATACTATCAAAATGTAATGCTTCTAGTAAGTAAGCATTATTGTTCACAGCACGTCAGAAAAAATGGTGTCAACTGGGAGTAAAAAGAAAAACATTTAAATTTGTTACCATTTATTACACTCACCCTATTTTCTAGGTATATTTTTAGTGAAAACAATTACTATTACAAGATAGCCAGAACAATTAAGGACTTGATTTTAAATTTGAAGAAGTCTAAGATTTAGTTTGTTAGTTTCAAAATGAAATATTTGAAAAAAATTTCTTAATCTGCTCCTCCAGTCATATGACACACACACACAGGGTGCTCTTAATTTCTCATTTATATATTTTTTCAATTTTATTACAAGAGCTTCAGATTATTCAACCAATTAAAAGTACTAACTATAGATAGTGATTAGCCAGAATACAAAACATTAATTTCTTATCTTTTTGCTTTACCGAGATATCACTTTTGAGAAATGTCTACTTCTCTTTCCGAGATTGCTACTGGACATATTTATAACCAATAGAAAAAAGCAAATTCTAAACAACATAAAACAGACAACAGTCTTTGTTCTAATAGTAAAAACTAATATTTAGCTGTAACATCTTGAAGTGTTTAGACTAAAGACATTGCTCTGAGCAGTAATGATAGTTTTTACCTTTTAAATGGCTAGTTAGAAAGACAAATAAAACAGTAGTTTTGAGATATTCTATTCCAGTATCCGACCTCTTTTTGTATTCTAAAGTTCATACTTGAAAGTTACATGCATTATTTTTGACCAATCAACATAGTGAGAAAAAAAAACAGGCTAACTAAACCATGCACCTGAGTGCAAAAAAAAGCCTGAAGGTTAAAATGCTCAGTTTCATTTAACTAATGAAGTAAAACTTTTAAAAATTTTGTTGTGTGTTTGTGTGTACATTAAGCAAGTTGTGAAAACGTTACAGGCCTACTATAGCCATAAGATAACACAAACTATAAAGGACCATTTGCTAATACATGGCTATCCTTACACACCCATGCTAAGAGAGAAAAATATCTCCATATTATAACTGCACTCATTTGAATAGATATAGTTTTGTTGGTGCTAAAATCATACAATACATTGTTAATAACCTCTACTATCATCAAGAAACATCATAACTATTATTTTGTAGAAATGCAATATAAACTATTAACACTTTCTGAACATAAGTAAATAAAAATTAACAATCATGAAAAATGATATACAAGGTGGGCCATTAGTAAGTTTACAGTAGGATTCCTCAACTCAATTATTTTTTTTATTAGAATTTATCAATTCTTCTTTGTTTCTAAAACCTATTGATAGTTGCATTTGATGACTACTGAAATGGCTCATAGATTTACCAAAGAACAAAGGTTTTTTGTGCCGAAAGCCTGAAGGCAAGAAAGTGTCACTATGTGTAAAACACAAAAGGAAAATTGCTTGTACAATAAAACTTGTATATTCACCTTCACATGGTTGCAGTAACATAATATTCTGTGTTGCACACCTAACTGAATAAACCAATGCTTCATTAATTGGGTAAACTTACTTGTATTTTGGAAGCGAGTACACGAGAGTTACAATTAAAAATATCGTAACATAATATTGAAAAGAAATATCTAAAATACTAAATGTGGTTTATCTTTAGGTACAATGATTAAGATACATTTATAAAATACTTTTCAGTATAACTTACAATTAAACTTGGAAGGGTATTGTTTGATGAGTATGTACAGGAAATAGTTAAAACATCGCCAGTCCAGTAATGTTAAGAAGAGGCATATAAAGTATAATTGATTTTTGTTTTGTTTTTAAAACTTACCAGAGGGTAACTGACAATAATCCTATCGGAAGCAGCATTTTCTATCATCATTTTCAAACAGGAACTCTCCCTCAAGAAAATGTGCTAGCTACCACTTCATGTTCATTTCATGTTAAGCCTATTAAAAACAAATATATATATATATATTTGGGACATAAGTGTATAAAAGTTACATGGATGATATATTTACTTTTTTTTTTTCTGTCTTATTTGTAAAGCATGTATAAACAGTTCAACAGAAAGTAAGCTATATTATTGTGGTCTAATTTTTAATTAACATACAAAAACATGTTTGCATGTTTGGTTTATGAAACTCTAAATGCTTTAATCTATTCACTGCAGCTGGGACATATATTTTTCTGTGCAATGGGAAATATACATCCCAGCGCAGTTAAAGGATTAACAGCACTGAGGTACACTGTTCTCAATCCAGTACTATTTAACTTAATAAGAACAGAAAGTATTAATATAGGATAGTGGAAAATAAAAACAGTCATTTTCTTACATTTCTTCTAAATTTGAATACTTTTAAACTAAACAAATGAATTCTATTGTAAGAAACCTCTTACTGTAATGTCCTTTAAGACTACCTGGTAAAAACAATGCCAAACTGAGTCCACATAATGATAATGAATTATTTTCTTCAATAACATTACTACAGGCTACGTTCACTTTAACATAAGTTGTAGGCCTAATTTTACTAACTTTTCAGTATAAACACTCGCATGAATAGGCCTAATACACTAACAACTTAACAGAAATCTCCTTAATCGATATAAAACCTGACTAACTTACTAGTTAGCTTATAGATATCTAGTTGTTGGTCAAAGTTACAAGTTTTTTTATGTCAACTGAACCTTATAGCTATTCTAGAAATACTTTTATGAAGTTACTTGATCTTAATGTCATGCACCCTCTAGTAAACATCTAAATAAAAATAAAGCTTATAACACGGCCCATTCCTGGATTGTGAAATCCTCTGAAGAATCCTAATACATAAATACAACAGTACACTAAACTGTCCATCAACAAATTATCTTTGGTGGTTTTCTTATGAGGGTCATGGTATGTATATGGGATGACCTCTTGACCTTTATCATCACATTACCCTATCACTCGGGGTAACAAATACCCTGGTGATTCCATCCTTAATGATCCTTTACAAGTGATCTTGACAGGAACCATATGGGCTCCTCAGCAGGATGACTTTCCACTCACAAAAATCTTCTCCAGAGTTATCCAGTTGGCCATTCCCTCACCTATGTATTTCCAAAGATTATCATGAGGATGATTTTCGGTTTGGATCGCCTGTCCCTCTGAATTCTATAAACCACATCATTGATTCTTTTCAGTACAACTTAGGACCATTCCCAACACCTGTCTAACTTTGGAGGTTGTCCTTGCTTGAATCAGGGATTATACAGCTACCGTGTCAATGCAAAAGATTCCAGTCATCAACATCATAGCAACTTTTCATTTCATCAGTAGCTAATTTAAGTTATATGTCAGTAAAGTCAGGTATGGTTTCAGTGACGTTCCTTAGTCCCTCTGTATGTTCAGCGTAAGCCTCTACTGGGTGACTGTTCTCTTGTTACAACTATAGAATGTCCAATGGCACTTTAAGTTCTCTCCCAAAGATCAGTGATGATGGTGTGTTGTAGCTTCATGTAATGCTGTTTGATAACTCAAAAGTAGCACAGGTAGACTTTGATCCCATGTTTCGTGATGTTCATCCACATAACTAGCTAACTGATTTAACAGTGCGAGGTTGTATCTCTCCACTATGTCATCAGAAGATGGATGGAAGGCTGTTGCTTTGGATTTTTTTTGCTTCCAAGGATCTAATACATTTCTTCAAACAAGGCTGATTCAAAATTCTATCTCCAATATGAGGGAAGTTCCACAGCCATGCTAAATCTTGAAATGAATTTGTTGGTGAGTTTCCTTGCTAGTTTTTCTTCCTAGTTAGAAACACCATATGCTTCTGACCATTTGTTAAAATAGTACACTACAACCATGATATATTTATTCCCACAGTTACTCTGTGGCAGAGGACTAACTACAATAACTGCAATTCTCTCAAGTGGTGCTCCAACACAATACTGATTTAACTGCCTAAGTTGTTTCTTTTGCAGACCTTTTTTCTCAAGTTTTAGACAAATTCTCTTCATCCAACCCAATAGAAGTGTTCTCTTACTCTCTCCAGTGTCTTCTTAACACCTAAGCATCCAGCTGTTGAAAGGTTGTGGAGATGAGTGCTTTAGAATGTAGACTATAGAAGTACCAACTGTAGTTGTTCTTTCTCTACATTGGTATCATTTCATTTCTAACATAATAAGTCCTGTTGTAAGCATAATGAATACCACTGAGCCAAGAACATCTTTGTCTTTGGGTTGTATGGAGCAAATATTTGCCATGAGGGTTTTCTTCCATTATTCCTGATCCACTGAATAATTGGTTTCAATCTCGTATCTTCTGCCTGATCACCTTTCAGTTGAGTGATGGGCAATATCATCATCACTTACAGCCATCAAATCTTGAATCACTCTGTTGAATTTAGGTTAGTTGTCTTTAAAATATTGTGCTTCCTTCTTTTCACAGTGTTTACATTCCTTATTAACATAGTCTTCAAGATAATACATCAGCATTTCCATGGTTCTGTCCAAGGCAATGCATGATTTTAAATTTGCTCCTGGAGATTTTGGAGTCATCTTGCTATCTGGCTTTTTGGATTTATCAGCAACTTCAGTGACGCATGAGCTGTCTGGAGTGTAAAACTTGTGTCCATATCTACTATGAGGGTAATGACTTAAGATGCAAACAACACTTAGTTGCTCTTTCCAAATTGTATTGTATCTCCCTTTTGCAGCATTCATTGTCTTGCTGTAGTGGGCAATTGCATGTTGTTTTTTTTCCCATGTTGTACTTGTGATAACACTGCTTCATTTGCAAAGTCACTATAATTTCTATCTAAAATGACTGGATGCTAATACAGTATTGGTGGTTAATATACGATCAGCAGTCCAATTATTTGGTTTATCAAGTAATTTGTGTAGAGGATGAGCTGTATCAAAGAATGATTTTACAAAACGATGATAGTAAGAGCACACTCCAAGAAATCCTCTTATCTCACACAGATTGCTCTTTGGTGATGGCCAATTCTGGACAAATTCATTCTTCAACTGGTCTGTAGATACTACTTCTGCTGACTATTTATGTCAGAACAATTCAAACTTCTTGGGAATTCAGATTAAGGTTACCTTAATCCATTGTAAGCATTATCAAAGGTTTTCCCATATGCAATTATGTCACTCAAGTAGATGAGTGTAACATTCCAAGGTAGTTCAGACAGAGAACAATCCATTAATAATGTAAATGTAGCATTTGCTTTATCTAATTCAAATGGTAACACAAAAACTGCCACAATCTATTTCTTGCAGTAAATGTAATTTTCTCCCTACTTGGTTTGTAAACTTGCACTTGCCAATATCCACTCCCCAGATCCAATGTTCAGAACCATTTTAGTTCAGATAAAGCATCGAAAGTAAAGTCAATCCTAGGCAGTGAATGGGTATCTATCTTTCTGGCTTCATTCACCTTCCAGAAATAAATGCAGCATTAAGGATCCATCCTTTTTCTTCACAAGTAAAATAGGTGATGCCAAAGTACTATCACTCAGTTTATCACTTCCTGTTCCTTCATGGCTTCTACCTCTATGAAAGCCTCAGTCTTTTTACAAGCTGAAGTTGTCTGGCTAATTGACATATTGGAGATGCATCACTAGTATCAATCTCTAAGATATATTATTTGTTTGGCTTAAGCCACAATGTCCACTGGAGAAGATATCTTATTTCATGAGCAAGTCATGTAACCTTTGGAACTGATCAGCTATAAGACCTGTACAGCTCTGGTTATATAGTTCTTGTGAATGAGGTGGTAAGCCGTCTTTATGCAAGTGTTGATATAACACTTCCTATATCCTGCCTCAAAGATGACTACTTCTGATGTTCTTTAATGTGGAAATACTACCTGTACAACTTTATATCCTGCAATGTTGCATGTTGGCTGAAATTTTCTAGTTTGTTGTGTTCATGGCCCTAATGATGACATTATTATTCTTTAGATCCATAAGAGTTATTCCAACTATTAACATCTCAAGACACACTGAAGTATTTGGTTCTAATACAGCCCAGTCATTAAATAAATATATATTCTTAAGTCCTGGTACTAGTACTTAACCTCTTGGTGGTACACTGAGTACTCTTCTCACTATCACCGGAAGTTTAACCTGTAGTGTAGTTATATATTGTCATTGAAGTGCACAGGGATTTTCTGGTTGTAGAATGTAAAGATATTTGAAGTTCGCGTAACCTCACATCTACATCTCTGCATAAAGACAGTTCCCAATACGTACTCTTCCTTGCCAATTATCCGTACATCATGAGATGTACAGAAACTTACAGAAAGGGTAACTTCCAACTTTCCTCTCACAGGAGCTTTATGTCCACTTGCTGTTCATATCAATACATCATCTTTCATCACTACTGGAGGAAATTTATAATTCATTCCCAAATTTAGTCAAACTACAGTAACTGCAGATCCAGTGTTCATCAACATACTGCAAAGTTGCCCATCGATAAATCATGGACTTGTAGCCTGACTTCCTTAAATAAGGAACTTATCTCATTTGGGATAGATGGAATATTCCCAGCTGAACTTTGCCCTATAAATCAAGCTAATTCCAGTCTTTTTTTTTATGTCTGTTTATGTTGTTTCTTTTGAGAGACATCCTCAGGGTATTGTCTCCTTGGCTTAATAAACAGTGGTTGATTCCTTTCAGTCTCTGGTGTAATGACCATATTTCCCACAGTTATCTTTTACTGACATCCTCTGGGATGAGTTGTTGTTCCCCAAGTTTTTGTCTACAGTTTAAGAAAATATGTCCTTGGAATTTACACTTGAAACATCTATTGTTTTGTGGTTTATTTCCTCCATTCTGTGTAAATAGTTGTATAATTATTCCTTTAAGTTTTTTTAGACTATTGCAAGGAGGAACCAATGTTTCAACAGTACTAGATCTGTTGTTCCCATAACTTCAGATGGTGTCTTTAACTGTTT